GGGTAGGTTTAGGTTGGATATTGGGAAGAGATTCTTCCCTGTGAGGGTGGTGAGGCCCTGGCACAGGTTGCCCAGAGAAGCTGTGGCTGCCCCATCCCTGGAGGTGTCCAAGGCCAGGTTGGATGGAGCTTGGAGCAACCTGGAATAGTGGAAGGTGTCCCTGCCCATGGCAGGGGGTGGAACAAAATGGTCTTTGAGGTCTCTTCCAGCCCAAACCATTCTGTGATTCTCTGCACTCACTGAACATCCCCTGGGACTGATCCTGTACCAGCACCATATGCCTGCCAAGAATCTGCCACATCAGTTTAGCTCCAACTCAGCCCCATCCTGCTGCCAGGAGCTCTCAGCACGTGCAGGGCTGCCAAGTGGTGCTCCATGGAGCAGGGGCAGCCACGAGATTTGCCTTTTCTAACCACAATAAGGGTTTCTAAAAGGAGCTGCTTCCTGCTTCCAGGCACTGCAGCTCTCCAGCACATCCCCAGGGTTTTTAGTTTCTCTCCCCCATCAGTTTTGCAGTACAGGTGTTGCAGCCTGTGTGGTAACACCCGTCCATTCTGCACGTGGCAAGAGCGTGGCTGGGACAGGGGCTCAAAATGGGTGAAAGAATTAAAGATTAGGGGTTGCTCCGTCACGTCCTCTGCCCACCCTCACCGACACTTGGCAGCGTTTACAAGGGTCGCCTTTTAGAGGCAAAAGTCCCCTTTTAATCAACATGTCAGCAGCTCTGCACCCTCTTGGGCTCTGGGCAAGACTTTTTGGGCTTTAAGCTGCTTCAGACCTCCCATGGGACCATGGTCAGGTGTGTAATTCTGTGTAATGTATATTTATATGTAATGTGCTGGCCAGTGCCTGCATTCAGCCACTGTTTCCTGCATCTGCAAGCAGGAGGTAAATGATAATGCCAGCTCCAGCAGTCCCAATAGCTGAAGAAGACCCTGCTTGCTGAAGGACACCAAAGTGATTCTCCTTGTTTCTGGAGCAGCCTATGAGTGTTGGAACACTTGTTTTTCAGAGCTACCAGCTGGCCCCTGAGCTGCAGGGCACCCCTTGGGGACGGCAGGGGAAAGCGGGCTGGGAATTAAATTCTAATAAAATAAACTACATCTGGGAATATGACCTTAGTGCAATTTTTTGGTCTGTTTTTGTATCTTTTATCCTCTGGGTAGTGGTTCAGCCAGATCATGTGGTACTGTCAGCACCCACACACACGGAAGGATGCCATAAACCCTGGTCGAACATTCGGGCTGTGACAGATCACTGAGAATTTCTTTTTTATCCCCTAATTCTTCCTTTTTTGTTCTATTATACTAAGCCTATCACTTCAATCTGATTAAGTTTAGGCAGATAAACATCCTGCCATCTGTCATGAAACTTTTTATACTGTTTGCTTGCTGGAGGAAGGACGGCCGTTTTCCTTTTTGGTTAAAAAGGGAGATTTCACCCTGTTTCCTCAAGTATTTATTTAACACTCCTGTGTGCCCTTGCCCTGCTGTCAGCTCTGGCCTTGCCTGAGTTTAGGGGTGGGACATTGAGTTTAGGAGTGGGACATGATCTCTGTCCTTAAACACAAAGTATAAGGTGCTACTTGGCACTTAAATTTGCATTTTGTTGTTATATTTTCAGCATTTCATTATTGTATTTTCATCTGTGTTACAACTAAGTGACAGCCAGGGTCAGGCTGGGGGAGCAATGGGAGACAACTCACACCACAGTGGGATGTATCATGTCTGCCTGCATGTGAATATCACAAAATGTCCATTTTCCAGTGCAACCCACAGCTGGGAACTCCTTCCTATTTCTAACACAGACACCCCGATTGAGGGTCCCAGCTGGGGGATTTGCCAACACACACACATTTTTGGGACACCCCCTCCCAGCACCCATGGAGATGGCCAAGGGGGTGCAGCCAGACCCCCTCTGGGAGAGGAGAGGAGGAGACTCCTGCCCCATCAGACTCCAACCAGTGCCACAACCCGGCTGTCACATCCCCGAGGGGCAGCGGTGTCCCCGAACCCCTTGACCCCACATCACAGAGAGGCGAGACACCGGCCGGGGGTTATTGAACCAGGAAGCTTTATTTACACAGTAAAAGTAACAAGCAATTTCCTGAGATTGAGCTGCTCTAGTGCAATCAAGTCATGGAGGGGGTGGGAACGTGCAGCCTCCTCGCCGGCCCGCGCAGGGGGCACCTCGGGCAGCCCCTCCCCGGGGACACGCGCGTCCCGCGGCGCTTGTGCAATTTTGCCAGCGAGACTTGGCTACTACAGGTCATAGCTTCAGAAGGCTTTGTTTTTTATTTTTCTTCTCATCCTTTTTTAATTTTTTTTTTTTTTTTTTTAATTTGGCCATCCTCTTCTTTTCGCTTTCTTGAAAACACCAAACTCAGACACGCCGGAAAGCACTTCTACAATCCTAGAACATCCTACGTCAGTCTATTCGCCTGGGCAGCCAGGAGCTTTAAACAATGCACTTGAAACACGACTTTATTGGCCAAACAGGCTATGCTAGAACGTAGAAAAATTACAATCTATTTTACAAACACTTCTTTTTGTTGGTTTTTTTTGTTGTTGTTGTTGTTTTTTTGAATGCACTCTTTCGTAGAACCGGCTCAAAGAGCTACATCTGCAAACACGCAGCAGACTCCCGTGTGCCTGCTAAGACTTTTTGTGTTAAAATCCTATTTTTTCAGGATGATTGCTGCTGACACAGCTTTGCTGTCATCCTAAAACCATGGCTGCCCAGACTGGGTCACACCTTGGACAAGCCATTGGGTCTCTTCACAATAATAAGCCTGTTTTAGCTACCTAGCAAGGAATAACATCCTTTGTCTGCATATTACTTTAACATCACATTCTGGCAGCCGGCAGGGATTTGTCAGGGGAGGAGTTGGAGGGTTACCAAAGCATCTGTGTAATAGGTGAAGTCCTTTACAAACCAAGAGCAGGACCCCCAGGGGGATGCCCTGCTCTCCCACTGCAGGCGTAGGGGACGGATCTCCTGACGCCAGGGAGCAACGCCACTTCTGACTTTACAATCAACAGGATGTCCCCTGAATCTGAGGCACATACTATATTATATTTAATATTTTTTAATTACTTTATTTATATATATATTTATATATATATAAATCCACAAACGTTTTACCTCTACGAGAGAGAGAGAGAGAAAAGAAATTTAAAAAGTAAGGCTTTCTTAAACTGAGAATAAGTACATGAAATCATACAAACCCAACAAGAAATACCCAACAGAACACCACCGTGGCCTCAAAACCGTCGCTAACTGTAGTCTGTGCCTACGCCAACGTGCCCAGTATAAGGCCATGACTCATTGGAGAAGCGTTTTTAGTAAGGCAAACAGGTTGTGCTGTATGTAAACTGAATGCTACGGCTACGTCCAGTACAGCTGGATCATGGTCCATTGGCCACCTTCCCACACTGGAGGGTTAGCATGGCACCAGGAGCAGCCCTTGGAAAGAAAACAGAAGCCCTTAGGAATTCCCCCAGTGATGCACATGCAAGAGCCCGCCCGGGGCTCTGCGACAGCAGCCGGACACAGATTTGGGTGACTTTGCCCCTTTTCGGCCAGCTGAGGAGGTGCCTGTGGCCAGCAGGAGCTGTGAGCCCCAGGACTGGGACATGTCAGTGGTGGGAAGGATGGATGGAGCATCAGGAAGACTCAAAGCCAAGAACTGTGCTGTGGGGGTGACCCTGCAGGGGCACAGACAGAGGGGCAGCAACCTGGGAAAACACTGGCATGGCTGGACCCTCCCAAAATGTCTGAGACCAGCAGCGTCTTCCACAACAGGAGGGCTAAAAATTAACCCACGGTGTATTTTCTTCTAAGTGATGCATCAAGCAACACTTAAAAGAGCTGGAGGGTTCCCCAAAATGAAAAGGCATCCCTGTCATCCCCTCTTCAAATACCTGGGGCTGGTCCTGCTTTCCTGGAGGGAGCAAAACTTCTGGGGTGCCAGGACAGGGATATCAGCTAATGGGTTCCACTGTGGTGAGAGATGACACACGTATCCCAAACCACTGCAGAAAAAAGTGCACTAACAACCAGAAATGGTGAATGAAACCTGTACCAGCAGCTCTCAGTCTTTCTGAGTTATGGACCCTCAAAGCACTACCAACGGGGGTGCTGAACCCCATTAAAAATGCCATGTCTTCAATTGCTGTTGGTATCCATGATTATTTTCCTTTCTCGCTTTTGCAAAGCTCGGGAAGTGAACCCTGAGCTTGAAGGAACCTGCAGAGGATGCTGTAAGCCACTCGTACAGACTCCCTAGAGCTTTAAACAAACAAACAAAAGAAAAAACAAAGGGAGAAAAAAAAAAATATGTCCTTCTAAACCTGTTAGCAAGTGGACAGCTTATTTTTAGCAAAGAGAATTCATATTGTAAAAAACAGAATGGTCACCATTTTATCTGTGCTTAAAAAAAGGCACAGGAAGAGGAAAAGCTTTCAGTGCTGCTACCTGGATTTTCAGCCTTTTGCCAGCTGACTTTGTCAAGTAACCCCGCTGTGACATGCCTTGGGCACACAGCCCTTCACAGTAAAGCCAAAAAAAGAGGGTGGCAGCCGTGCCCTGGGTAGCAAAGAGGGCACAGCTGCTGATAAATGGGTAAACAGCCCAGTCCCAACAGGGAGATGGGAACCCAAGCGAGGGTGGCACCAAGCCTGAGTGGGGCTGTTTCCCAACAGGGTTGAGAGAGGGGGCTGAGAATTAAAAAAAATAGGGAAGAAAGACATTTGAGCATCCCTGGGCAGCACCCGGCAAGCACTGCTGCGGACACCACCCTGCATGGGGTCCCTTTAATTCCTCATCAGGAAAACTAAAAAAAAAAAAAAAAATTTAAAAAAAAAAAAAAAAAAAAAAAAAAAAA